TCAATATAAACATGTCGGCAGTTTTATAACATAGTTCACCACGTATATGCTATGTCACCATGTATATACAGGTGATTACGTATAGTGCATAGGGCTGTATGCGTAAGTGTCAAGCCGGCCAGGTACTCCTAGACGTTTGGGGAGATATACACATATGTCAAGACTTTCAATCCTGCACATAAACCATAGCAACTCTATTTGTACACCTTCGCATCAGCACGACTATTTCTCTCCTTTCCCATTAATCCGCGCAGGCTTTCCACTAATTCGGTTCCCTTCTTCTTATTCCGACACAACAGGATCAACTCGAAGCCCATGGCAGCCAGGCTGTGGGCAGTGGCTTTGCCAATTCCACTCGTGGGCCCTGTAATAGCACATATCGGCGCATCCCTGTTCGTTGACATGACTACAGCTGGAAGAGGTGCACGTTCTAAAAAACACTAGTAGTCGTATGAACAACACAAGATTCAATGGCGACGGTGTCAATAGAATAGCCACACGACAAACGTAAGTTATTTGTGTATGTACTACAAAAATAGAAGTAGAAATGTATATATTATCAAATATGAGGTATTTTTTGTGTGTTGAAATTGACTAAAACCCTAAAACCCGGCATACTATACTGGCGCCAAAAGTGCTTATATCACCATCAGTCATCACAATTATTGATGCATAGCCAAATAAAGGCCAATAAATGCTCGGATGTAGATTTGTGGACGTTATTTGTACGCTCCAGTCCCAAATCCATTGTAACTTCACGTAAGTGATACGGATCATCCCGTCGGATGTACGTCTTCTGGCATTGCAGCGGGAGTGAACTATAGCAGGAATAATGTGTACGCAAGCTGGTTAACGAAATACTGATAAGGTATCTAAACACGGAATATTCAACGCGAATGGCGAGAGGAACAGGCTATTATCTCCAGCGATATCTTTTACTAGCAGAAGACTTTTGTATAGCATAGGTATGCACAAGTACAGTTTGCCAAGACGACAAACTGTTCTGATTTCTCTTTTAAGTGATAGGGGGTATGCACAAGAGTATCACAAGCATGTCCAGAGGAACATACGCCCGTTTTGAGGTGCAGTTGGATTGCGACAATTTTCATAAGTATACACCATACATACACTCAGACCCAGACACACACACACACACACACACACACACACAACACACACACACACACACACACCATATATATAGTATAAA